TTTTTTTGAAAAACAACACATTTGTGTTTGACATATTTATGTTTGACAAATTTAAATTCCTTCTACACGGTTATTCGAATTTTGTTAAATTTTATTGGAGTTTGTTAAGGAAACTTTTTGAGATGTTATGAATTATAAAACTATAGTAATATTGTAGATATAAATAGAAAAAAATGCAAAACATTTTTATTAAAATGCAACTATCGTCTCCCGGGTCAGCTAGTATATATATATATATAGACATCTTAATAATTTTCTTTAACAGTCTGTGAACAATTTTCCGTAACAAGTGAATGTATTTCACTTTGTAAATCACTTTATATTTTGCAAAAATTATGTTCCTTACTAGTTATTAAATTAAATTAAATTATGTATCTTTTTCAGTTTATATAATTTTTTGTCCTATTTGCTCCACCGTCCCCTATGGTGGAGGAGCCGGTAGCCATTTACACGGCCGATTAATTTTACTCCAAGTCAAGTTGAATTACGAAAGTATTTATCTTTAGGAAGAGAGGAATAATATTGTGAGTGATGCTGTTTTAGTGATATCATTATGATGAGTGATAGTGAAATGAAAATAGATAAAAATGAAAAATAGATTATTAAGTAAGTTGGAGTGAGTTACTAATACTAATAATATTTATAAATTGAATTCTATTTTTTTTTAATATATCGATTTAAACTGATAAGATCAATTAGATAGCAAAAATCAATTTTTAAGTTGATAAGATAAATGAAATCATCGAAATTAATTATCAGTCTATTTTATCTGTATATATCAGTTTAAATCGAGATATTAAAAAGTATAAAATCAAAAATCAATTTATTGTTATTAGTACTAATTCTAAAATTGTTGGACGCAAACTTTATTTATATTGAAGATAATTATTGAAAAATGAAGAAAGTCACTGTTTTAATTTTTTTAACGTTTTTGTGCTGTTTTTGCAAATCGGTATTGGCAAATGGTAAGGGCAAATATTATTTATATATTAAATTTATATAATATTTGTGTTTACAAATTTTCATTTATATGTAATATGGAACTACTAGTCGACCTGTCTACAAATTTACCTATCTACAAATTTACATGTTCGCAAATGTACCTGTTTACCTTTCTACCTGTCTACAAATTGACCTGTCTACAAATTTACCTGTCTACAAATTTACCGGTCTACAAATTTACCGATCCACTAATTTACCTGTCTACAAATTCACCTGCCAATCTCTCTACTTCAAAAATTTACTTATCTACAAATTCACTTGTCTACAAATTCAATTGTCTACAAAATAACCTGTCTACAATATAGCCTGCCAACAAACTCATCTGTCTACAAACTCACTTGCCTACAAACTCAACTGCCAACAAACTCACTTGTCTACAATATAATCAGTCTATCTCTCTACTTTACAAATTCACCTGTCTACAATATCACCTGTCTACAATATCATCTGTCAATCTCTCTACTTTATAAATTGACCTGTCTATCTTTCTATTTAACAAATTTATCTGACTACAAATTCACCTGTCTATCTCCCTACTTTATAAATTGACATGTCTATCTTTCTATTTAACAAATTTACCCGTCAACAAATTCACTTGTCTATCTCTCTACTTTAAAAATTTACTTGACTACAAATTCACCTGTCTATTTCTCTACTTTAAAAATTTACTTGACTACAAATTCACGTGTATATCTCTACTTTATAAATTTACCTGACTAAAAATTCATCTGTCTATCACTCTACTTTACAATTTTACCTTTCTACAAATTCATCTGTCTATCTCTCTACTTTAAAAATTTACCTGTCTAAAATTTCATCTGTCTATCTCTCTACTTTACAAATTTACCTGTCTACATGTTAAACTGTCTACAAAAATAACCTGACTACAAATTTTCCTGTCTACAAATTTTCCTGTCTACAAATTTACCTGTCTACAAATTTACCTGTCCATAAATGCACCTGTCTATCAATTCACCTGTCTACAAATTTACCTGACTACAAAATCACCTGTCTATCTCACTACTATACAAATTTACCTGACTACAAATTCATCTGTCTATCTCTCTACTTTACAAATTTACCGGTCTACAAATTTACCGGTCTACAAATTCACCTGTCTATCTTTCTACTTTACAAATGTATCTGACTATAAATTTATCTGTCTACAATTTCATCTGTCTACAAATTTACGTGACTACAAGTTCACCTGTCTATTTCTCTACTTTACAAATTCACCTGTCAAAAAAATTATCTGTCTACAATTTCACCTGTCTATCTCTCTACAAATTTACCTGACTCTAAAGTCACCTGATATACTATCTAATACCATATTCCAATTTTCTACCAGTATACATATCAGCCTGTCTACCTGGCTACTTATCTACCTGCCTATTTTTTTTACATATTTGATTTTTAGACAATTACAATAACTCACCCTACGGGAAGTTAATAATAAAAATAAAACTGAAACATATTAATATTTTTTTATATATATTTTAAGTATCCGTAGACGAGGTCGTCTCTCCAGATGGCAAGAAATTTTTTGTTGTGAATAGTCCCAAAGTAAGTATCGAAATAAAATTATAGATTTTATAATCTTTAATTTTAATTTGAAGTTGGTTTAATATAAACCTTAAAGACAAATTGGTTTGCTGCCAATAACTTATGCCATGACATCTTTGGAAGCAGACTGGCATCAATAACAAATGAGCTGCAAACTGACGCCCTGCTCAATTACATGAAAAACAGTATGTATCGATATTTAATAATTAATTATAAGGAATTTTTCCTAAATTAAAATCTTGTCGATTTTCTTCTATGTAGAAAATGAAATTGTGCAGCACTACTGGTTGGCTGGTAATAGACACGTCGATGACACTAAATTTGTTTGGTATTTGGTTGACCAGAAAGAAATGCATTACCAAAATTGGATGGCTGGAGAGCCCAATAATAGTTTGTCAGATGGTGAAGAAAAATGTGTGGAATTTTATTATGCAACATCTATATACGGATGGAATGACGAGAACTATGATACCATAATGTCTTTTATTTGCGAACATTTATAATAACTTGTTTATTTACTGTCAATATGTAGTATTTTGTACCCAAACATAATTGAAAAACTAGATGCAAATGCCTTTCTTTTTTTTTTTAAACAAATCTCACTCCTTTTCCCCTTCCTCCACCGTGCAGCATTCCGCTTCCGCAATCTTTTTCCTCATTTCTTCCGGGTTGTCGTAACCGCTAAATCCTCCGGATTTACCGGAAGTATGTTTCCCTTTTTCCGACACTTTCACTTTAACACGACGCGGTTAAAAAGACGGGAATTGTGACGAAGTTTAGCGAGCGACGGTGGAGGAATGTTCTTATTACAGCTTCATTGCAGCGAAAGGCGGAAAAGTAAAGAGTTTTCATCAAATTGTGTCAGAGATCCTTAAAAGGTAAATGAAAAAAAAATCTTTAGATTTTTTTAGATCGATATATAGATAAATAAACGTGTATTGCGAAGTTTAACGTCGTTTCAGAAATATTCAAACTTGTTAAAAATTTACTCAACAAAAACTTTGTAAAAACCTAGTCTAGTTTTTTCTTTATTTTGAGAAGTTTTTTTTTCAATCGATGTACTTATTGTGAGAAGGGTTTCTTACATTATCCGACTCCACCGTCCTCCCGTGGCTCTTTTGCGGGAGCATTAGATTATTTCCCAGCGGGATTTCGCTTCGACAATCCCTTTAACACTTTTAACTTGGCGGTGGAGAAATGCGGTGGAGCAATAGGCGAAGCGGTTTGCTGGCGGTTGTGTGTGATAAAATGTGATTCTTATTTACATTTGGGGTGCAAGAATTGTGTAAAGATCAGGAAAGAAGTCAATTTAAATGGTGAGATAAGAAATGTTGCAATTATTAACATAATTTTTGCGAAATAGAGGTTTATAAAAAATAAATAAAATGACAATTGACCGAAAAAATTCTGGAATGCTTCAGGAACATTTCTGAGGACAGTTTCCAAAAATTTCACGAATATTAGATATATATATATATATATATATATATATATATATATAGTTTTGAAATGCATAGAACATACGCAGATAGACATTCATTTATCAATTATTTCGACGAATAATGACACACTGTTGCTCATCGTCGTAAGAACAATGTTTACAAATATTAATAACAGAATCTTGTATCAACATTTACAATTTGTCGTGATATTTTACGTCTTTATTTGCGAAGCAATTTATAGATAAGATTTTTTAGAAATCAATTATGTCAATAAAAAAATTGCTTGATTTGTAATCAACAAAATCGAAAACTTCATTGATTAAGTCGATTGTAGATACCGAGAAAATCAAGCGAACTGTATTAATACAAAATGCCACACCTAGTATATGTTTTAACACACATTACAAAATAAATAAGATATATGCAATGATATCAATTGTTGAATAAATAAATTTATGTCATTTGTTTTTAAAGAGTATAAAAGCTGAAAATATTTCATGGGCATGAGTAAAGATATAAAAACTGTTGGACGCAAATTATATTTCAACTGTTAAGAAAAATAATAAAAAATGAAAAAAGTTACTGTATTAATTTTTCTGTCATTTTTTTGCTTTCTGTGCAAATTGGGATCGGCTAAACTTGAAAATGGTTCGTATGTTTTAACGCTGTTATAATTTTTATTAATTTTTCGTAAGTTATTGTAATCGCCTAGAAATCAAAAATCCAAATTTTTTCATATTTCTACGTTTCGAAAAAACGGATGTGCGTGTGTGTGTTGAAAAAAATATTAAATTCTATTCATTCATTAATTCATTCTGAATATTCTCCTTCGGGAAGTTAAAAAAAATATTTATTTTTAGTTTCAGTCGACGTGGTGGTCAGTTCAGACGGAAAAAAGTTTTTCGTTGTAAAAAATCCTCAGGCAAGTAAGCTAAACTACATTTTTTGATATAATTTACTAATACAAATTAAAAAAACTTTTAGTTGCCTTGGTTCGCTGCCAATAATTTATGCCATGACTTATTCGGCAGCAGATTAGCATCTGTAACAAATAACTTTCAAAATAACGCCCTGGCCAGTTACATCGCAACTAGTATGTATAAATATAAATTAATGAATAAACAGTACGCAGATGATATTTTGCCTAAAGGCAAGTTGCCTGTGTGAATATTTGTCTTAAAGAGAGAGATTTGTAATTGATCTCATTTAACTAATTCAGCAGTTCATTCAGTTTGCGTTAAGGCAAAATATCAGATTTTCGAAATTAAAAAATCGATTGAATAACTATTTATTCTACTTAGAAAACCAATATGTTCTACGTTACTGGATAGGAGGAAATAGGTTTGTCGATGGCAAAAATCTCATGTGGCATTTGGTTGACCAGAAACCGATGAATTACCAAAATTGGATGCCAGGAGAGCCTAATAATCTTAAAGGCAATGAAACATGTGTCGAATTTATTTATGATATGAGGCTAACTAATTCATGCAAATGCGGATGGAATGATAATGTCTGCCAAAAACCGTTTCCATTTATCTGCGAATAATCATTAAGATAATTTATAGTCTTTTTATGTGTAATATTGACGCTGTATTTTAACAAATGTATTAATGACTAGAATTGCACATGTTTTAAACTTCATTGTAAAATAAATTATTACATAAAATCTTTTTTTTTGTATTATTATTACTGTGTACTTTTTTATTTAACTGTTTTATGATGTTTTGGATTTCATGTAGAGTAAGTTATTGTAATCGTCCAAAAATCGAAAATGAAAAGTTTTGCTATATTAGGATACAAAATTTTAATTTGATTACCACTGAATGATGGCTAAGATGCTAGCCGAAACGTATGGATTTTAAATATATAAACTTTTAAAAAAACTCTCATACTATTTTTATTGATGTTACGCCCGAATATTAAACTCAAATTAAACATATATATATATATATATATATATATATATATAATTATCGATATATTATTCAAGAACTCACTCATATATATATATATATATATATATATATATATATATATATATATCGATAATTATTAAGATTTGATTATTCACATACATCATGCCACTTTTCTTAAGACAAATTGACACATAGTTTCTATATATAGATTGCATTCATATATGTTTTAACAAAGAATTGCAGAATGAATAAGATAAACTATCATACCATTTGATTCGAGAAATTTATTTATTTATTTATTGACTACATACAATTTCCTCAAGAAATTTATCTTATCGTTTTAAATTGATTTCTTGATTTAAATAAATATAAAAGCGGGAAAAAATAACTAAAGTTACTAGTAGTGAACTGAAAATTGTAGGACGCATATTATCATATATAAAGTATTAAGACAAGTTTTACAAAATGAAGCAAATTACTGTTTTAATTTTGCTAACGTTTTTCTGCTGTTTTTATAAATCAGTGGTGGCAACAGAGGGTTAGTAAATTGTAATATTATTATATAAATACCATAAATTATAAAGTAAATCCCGGGACAAGTTTTCGTGTATTTTGATTTAGGCCAAGTCGCTTCGATTTTATTTTTCGTTCTACATTTATTTTTTCATTTTTTTATAATACGTATATAAAAAACACTTAATGTAATATTTATATATTTTTTAATTAATTGGTAAGTGGTAGACTAGCATACTGGTAGACAGGTAAACAGATAAATGTTTGAAATGTAGATAGTTACATCTGTAGACAGATGAACAGGTACGCTGGTAAATTGGTAGATAGGTAAACTGGCAGACAGGTAAATTGGTAGACAGGTAAACTGGCAGACATGTAAATTGGTAGGCAGGTAAATTGTTAGGCAGGTAAATTGGTAGGCAGATAAATTGGTAGACAAATAAATTAGCAGACAGGTAAATTGGTAGACAAGTAATTTGTTAAATGGGTAAATTGATAGACAGGTAAATAAATTGGTATATTGGTAGACCGGTAAAATGTTTGGCAGGTAAATTGGTAAACAGGTAAATTTGTAGACAGATACATTGGTAGACAGGTAATTTGGTTGACAAATAAATTGGTAAACAGGTAAATTTGTACACACATAAATTGGTAGACAGGTATATGGGTATACTGGTAAATTTGTAGATAGATAAACTGGTAGACAGATACACTGGTAGACAGATGAATTGGTGAATGAGTAAATTGGTAGACAGATAAATGGTAAATAACACTTGGTAGATTGATGAACAGATTGATAGGTAAATTAGCAGACAGGTGAACTGGTGAACTGGTAGACTAATAAACAGGTTGACAGGTATATTGATGGACAGGTATATTGATGAACAGGTATATTGGTGGACAAGTAAATTGGTAGACAGGCAAATTGGTTGACAGGTGAATTAGTGGACAGGTAAATAGGTTGACAGGTAAATTGATGGGCAGATAAAGTGGTAGACAGGTATATGAGTGGACAGGTAAATTGGTAGACAGAAATTGGTAGATAAGTAAATTGGTAGACAGGTAAATTAGTGGACAGGTAAATTTTTAGACAGAAATTGGTGGCCAGGTAAATTGATAGACAGGTAAATTGGTAGACAGGTAAATTAGTGGACCTCTAAATTGGTTGACTGACACACAGGTTCAGTATAGACAAATAGTTATATTTGACTTATATAGACAGGCAGACTGAAAGTCAAGAAAACTAGAAGACATGATGTAAAAAACATGCATTTTTGTTCAAATTATCAATTGAAAGAAAAATACAGTGAAGCGTCAATATGTTTTATTTTTTATGGCATGAAATTATACTTTTAATTACAATTAATTAAGTGTAAAATCAAATAATTGAAGTTAAAAAAAATAATAAAAATCTTATACTGCTTTTTTTTACCTCTACTAATATTTATTTTCAGTTTCAGTTGATATCGTCACCAGTGCAGACAAAAAGCACTTTTTTCTTGTTAAAAATGTTCAGGTAATTGTCGAAGATCAATTAAAGATTTTATTAGTTCTCTTACTAATCGATTTATTTTTAGGAAAATTGGTTTAATGCCAATCAATTTTGCCATGAGTATTTTGGTGGCAGGTTAGCAACGACAACAAGTTATAGTCAAGTTTACGCCCTGACCAGTTACATAAAAACTAGTATGTAAAAATATGAAATAATCAAAATTAGTCAGCGATATTGCTTATTGTAAAACAACTATTTATTCTACTTAGAAAACCCATATCGTTTTGGCCACTGGATAGGAGGTAAAAAGTCGATCGTTGGCAAGAATTCTGTTTGGGGCTGGGTTGACCAAAAGCAACATATGCATTACAAAGGTTGGATGCACGGAGAGCCTAACAATTATGATGGCCATGAAAATTGTTTGGAAATTTTGTATGATATTTGGGCAAACGACTACGGGTGGAATGATAATAACTGCGAAAAAAAATTAAACTTCATTTGCGAAAAATAATTTAAAAAATTTACATGTATTTACATATAAAATAAAACTATATATATAATCATAATCTTCAACTTTAGTGTGCAATAAATCAGTAAATAAAATCAAAAATCGTTTTTTGCTTTTTTCACGTTTTCAGATCATTCATGGACTGCGCAACAGACCAATGTTATGGCGAATCTATCTTAAGAAGAACTTTCCATACTGAATATTGATAAAAGGCATGCGGTTGCTGTGCAGTCAGGCGTATTTCTCAGGTTGTCAGATAGAAAACATATCCTAGAAACCACATAAATGTCAAAAAAACGAAGATCTTTCTGACCCAGCTTCATAACATAGGAGTAACGTTACAATCATGTATAAAACGCCTGAATGCACAGCAAATACATAACATTTTGATAGTATTCAGTATGATTCAGTAGGCTAATGTATAAAAGTTTGTTTCAAAAAAATAGATGTGCCTGGAAAAGAAATTCATGTTTTGTTAGAACATCCTATTTGTTGATTTTATATTTTATATGCCATAAATTTCCGAAGCCGCAATGACCCATCTATTTCAAATTTATCGCACTATTGTTTATATATTTTTTAAATTTTTGATCTGCGCTCACTTGCAATCAAAAACATATAGAATGACATTTTTATCATCGCATGTCAATGTTGGCCTGATCCCACATGTTAATCAAATGAAATTCTCGAAATAGATTTATCTTGTCGTTTTATAAATAGAATAAAGTTAATGATTTAAAATCAGCAAATAATTTGCAATTATTAGTAGCGTTGGTTGCAAATTTTATTTATACTATTGAGAAAAATATTTAAAAATGAAGAACATTAGTGTGTTAATTTTTTTAACTGTTTTGTGCGGTTTTTATAAATCGACATTGGCAAATGGTTCGTATATTATAAATGTAATACATTTATTATGAAAAATTATTTTGGAGTAGTGTTTTATACTAAAAGTTTATTATTTAAGATCTAACTATGTAACACAAAATATTTTACAAAATTTGAATTTGAATAAAAAATATTTCCAGTTACTTTCGACACGGTCGTGAGTGACGACGGAAAGAAGTTTTTTGCTGTGAAAAATCGTCTGGTAAGTGTTGAAGATTAATTATAGATTTTATTATTTAAAGAAAAAACTTTCAGGTAAATTGGTTTGGTGCCAATAAACTATGCCATGAGATTTTTGGCAGTAGATTAGCATCGATTACAAATCGATTGCAAAATGACGCTTTAGCTGATTATATGAGAGGTATTAGTATTAATTACTAAAATAAAAAATAAACGATTTCGATTTAGTTTGATTTTTTAGGATATGGTGATGTTCGTTTCTGGATTGGTGCAAATAAGTTGGTCGACGATACTAAATTTGTTTGGTACTTGATTGACCAGAAGCAGATGAATTATCAATATTGGATGCCAGGAGAGCCTAATAATAATGGCAATGAAATGTGTGTCGAATTTGTTTACGACATCAGTATAAATAATTCTTGCAAGTGCGGATGGAATGATACTCATTGCGAGTATATATTTAAATTTATTTGCGAAGCATTAATATAATAATTAATACTATTTAGTAATACAAAACATCATGTTCTAACTGACTTTTTGTAGTTTGATTGTAAAATAAATTAATAAATCATCTTTCGTGATATTTCAATTTTCAAACTCATTATTTCTTTCTATCTATCTCTATCTCTATAAAAGTGCCTAGAAATTTTTAACAAAATTAAACAAGAAAATTTTACAATTCTTATACAAACCATTTAACAATCACAAATTTTAGAATTGAAGTCAAAATAAACAATTAAAAATCCCATGAAGTGAACACTTAATTTTTTTCTACATATCATTTCCATATATCGTTTCAGAAATTCTTCCTCCACCTCAACCGGGTTTTTTACAAATGGCCAAATCGAGTATGTGAATTTATCTGTAATATTTTCTCCCATTTCATTTTATTGTCAGGATAAACCCATTGAGAGGATTCGATTGAGTGAATAAGCACGGAATTTGCCTTTGTCGACGAACTGCCTCATCCTCCACCGTAGACTCTCTCTTGTCGACGACGACGACGTCCTCATTTTCATATGATTTTGCTAGTCGACTGTCATCGTACAGAGCCGAAGGTAATGGATAGACGAATAAAAAACTCAATATTAAATATTGAAGTAAATTTAAAAAAATCATAAAAGCAAAATGAATAGTAACCATTTATATATATAAATTAGATGACCCGGCGAATTTTGTTCCGCCTTAATGGCAATAAATAAGCAGTTTTTTTTAATTGTTAAAAATAAAAATAAAATTAAAATACCAACATTAATCATTCATAATTATTTTTGTATTTTAGTACATAGGTTGCTCTTCATTTAAGTACCTTGTGTCACACGACATTTTATTTTTAACACTATATTTAACACAAGGTAGTCGAGTTCAAATTCAATTACTCCTTTTTATTGCCCAATCAAAGCATATTTACTGATAATATATATGCCAATTAGTTGTAAACACCTAAAACATTTTATAACATATATATATATATAAAGATTAATATATAACTATTTACATTTTTACTACAAATTTTGGGGTTATGTTAAGAAACTATATTTCAAAATTATTTTTTTATCAATTTGTAAATAAGTATACTTTTTGCTGATTACAAACAGCTCAAATACTCTATTTGAATACGTATAAACAATTATACATAAATACCTAAGTATATAAATAATTACATTCCCATTTTCAAGAAATAAATTTCTCCTTCGTCCATCTGGCATCGCTTGCTATTATTAAGAATTAATTTATTTGCCATATTGTAATAATTTTTGGTGGTGATTAAAAAATTTATATTATTTACGTAATAATTTTCCAAAAATGGCGATTAAAAAGTTTACACCGGTTGACAGTTGACAGTTGACAGTAAATGTCATGGATATAATATAAATCATAGATTGAATATACTAAATGGATAGTTTACAATTAATAAATTTTGAATTGGAATGCAAAAACTGGATAAAAAGTATCCTGTGTCCTTCTCCTGGCTCTAAACTACCTCCTTGCCAATTTTCGGCTAAATCGGTGCAGCCGTTCGTGAGTTATAAGTGTTGTAACTGACATGATCTTCTATTATATAATATATAGATTAATAATTACTTTTATTATTGAGGTTAGCCACATAAAATGTCAGTAAAATAAATTTTATGTAATAAATAAACTGAATGGATAGTTTATAATTAATTAATATTAAATTTGCACGAAATAAAGAAATAAAAGGTATCCTATGTCCTTCTCCTGACTCTAAACTAACTCCCTACCAATTTTTGGCTAAATCGGTTCAGCCGTTCGTGAGTTATAAGTGTTGTAACTAACACGATCTTCTTTAATATATATTATTATAAATTATTGAGGTTATTTACATAAAAAATATCAGTAAAATAAATTTTATGTATCATTTAAATACAATTCCTATTTCGGTCCTGTCTTTTATCTGGGGTACTCGAACACGATGTATTGAAATTGTGACATTTGATGGGATAAATCGATTGGCTGGTAAGTGTGGCGGTATACAACAAAGTGGTATATGTGAAATGTGAAATGATCAAACAGAAAATATATATTTTTGTGAGAATTCTCTCATTCTTTTATTTCGCTCTCTAAGAGTAAAACAATTTTATTTGCAAGAAATTTGACAGAAAAATGTAATACTACAAATTGACGTGGAGGAATATGTGTCTCCACGATACATAATTGATACAACTCCATTCTATTAAATCAACATTTTTCTCCGCCTATTATTTTACCCAAACAAGCCCTTGACGTGTCATTTCCTCCACCCTATATATTCCCTCCAACCCTTAAAAAGTGTGCGGTCAGCAAACGCTTCATGGGGGGTCAATCCTCGTGACCCTTTCCCCAATTCTTCATCCAAAAGGGCTTGTAGTCCTTTTATGTCGGGACCAGTGAATAATTAATGGCCTAGAGAATAAACCTTAGCCCTTTTGGAATAAAATTTTGCACGGTGGAGACGGGTGGCGACTACGATTTTTTTTTTGCGTCACTTTCTGGTGGTTTCAGAGTTGTCAGTTGACGTGGTTTGAGGTTTAGGGTTTGTTAGGGTATGAGGTGTCCCTTGGGTTGTGTTAACACGAATGTTACACGTGTCACATTAGCTTTTGACTTGATGAAGATAACGTGTTTAACGACACTGAGATTTTATCGGTTTTTGACAAAATGTACATGAAAAGGTGGAGGGTAATGAATATGAAATATTGTGCAGGGCGTGATTTTGGATGGTGGAAAGTGGAATTTTGTTTGTCTACCTGTTCAATACTAAAACTACTGAAATAAAAAAAGATTTTACACCCTAATCGCACCTAAAGAAGTTTTACTTCAATAATTTTATCTACATTTGTCCCGTGTTGTATAATTTACCGAAAAGACATTGTCACGCCAAACCTTGTTAATTCATGTAACACAAACCATAAAACGATATCGCGAGAAATATATCAGAACATGTAAAGTACGATTAAACATTTTAAGACGTTCCCCAGAAGTCATAAATTTATGCCGAGCGTCTCCACCGCTGCCTTATATCATATACATTGTCAGATGTAATTGCGACACACGTAATCTTTAGTTTATTACATACTGAAAATTCATTGAATTTAAAAAAAATCCAGACTTCAAATTTTCGACTAAATTTTCAAACTTTTGTTAAACATGTTTTGGCTAAAAATCTAAACTTTTGACTAAAAATCTCAAATTTTGACTAAACAGTCAAGCTTTTGACAAATAAATCGATACTTTCAAATAAAAATGTTATATTAGATTTTTAGAGACACTTGTAATCTTTAGTTTATTACATACTAAAAATTTAATTTTAATATTTAAATTTAAATAAGTACAAACTTTTGACTAAAAACTAACCAAATTTTCAAACTCTTGTTAAACATCCAAACATTTTTTGGCTGAAAATCTAAACTTTTGACTAAGAATCCGAACTTTTGATTATAAATCCAAACTTTTGATTGTCAAAATTCAAGATTTTGACAAATAAATCGATACTTTTGAATAAAAATCCTGAATTTCGTAAACAATTTAAACTTATTACCAAAAATTGAAAACTTTTGACCAAAAACGAAGCTTTTGACTAAAAGTCCTAAACTTTTGAATAAAAATCCTGAATTTTAACAAAGCATCTAGACTTTCGACTAGAAATCTAAATTTTCGAATAAATTTCCTAACTTTTGCTTAACATCCAACTAACTTTTGGCTAAAAATCTAAACTTTTGACTAAGAATCTCAAATTGTCAAATAAATTGATACTTCCGAATAAAAATCCTGAATTTCGTAAAAATAATCAAAACTTTCGACCAAAAATCCAAAATTTTCGACCAAAAACAAAACTTTTGACTAAAAATCCTAAACTTTTGAATGCAAATCCTGAATTTCAACAAAGCATCTAGACTTTTGACTAAAAAAAATTACTAAAAATCCTGAATTTTGACAAAAACCCAAATAACTAAACTCAATCGACTAAATATCCAAATTTTTGATTAAAAAATGAAACCTTTGAATAATCCTGAATTTCGGAAAAAAAATTAAAACTTTTGTCTAAAGATTTGACTGAAAAAAACAAAACTTTTGAATGAAAATCCAGAAATTAATAAAAAAATCTAATATTTACTAAAAATTTGAAATTTTTGACTAAAAATCCAAAACTATTGACTAAAAATTCGAAACTTTTGACACCAAAAAATCTGAAATTTAACTAAAAATCCAACTGCTAAAAATAAACTGTTAGCAAAAATTCAAACTTTTAACAAAAATTCAAAACTGTTAACTGAAAATCTAAATTTTTGACAAAGTTCTGAATTTTGACAAAAATCCAAACTTTCATTTAAAAATCCAAATAACTAAACTCAATCGCCCAAATATCCAAATTTTTCATTAAGAAAATTAAACTTTTGAATAAATATCCTCAATATCGTAAAAAATTTAAACTTTTGACTTAAGATCAGAAACTTTTGACTTAACATCCAAAACTTTCGACTTAAGGTCCGAAACTTTTAACTTAAAATCCGAAACTTTTGACTAAAAATCCGGAACTTTTGACAAAAATCTTAAATTAAACTTAAAATCCAAAACTTTTGGCTAAAAATCCGAAACTTAACAACAGAAATTCCAAATATTTATTAATGCAAAAATGTTTAGTACTATTAGTATGTTACACTAACACAATAACCATCAAACTATCAATACCCTCTAAATATCAACAGCCATTACCGTACCGGTAATTACCACGTTGGTATGTGTATGTAAGAAACAAGTCGTCGGCTCTTAACAGAAATGTTAAATTAGCTGCTGCAGCAGCTACAGCGCGATAATGTTAGACAATATGTCACACTGCTATAGTTTTTAGATGACATTTACATAGATCGTACACATGTGTTTTCACCCTTGGGGAAATGGATT